GTTGAGTGACCGTTTGAGAAATCAACTCGCTTTTGTACTATCACTATAGTTATCCTTATTTTCGATTTGTTGGGATGTATACTAACTTTCTGTTATCGTTGATGTTGAAAGATTTAGAACCAGGAACGATGCCACTGAGTTGGAAGACAAGGCTACAGGTAGCTGCAGGCGCAGCTCATGGACTCGAGTATCTACACAAAGCAAATCCACCCGTCATTTACCGTGATTTGAAATCTTCAAATATATTATTGGACAATGATTTCAATCCAAAGCTGTCGGATTTTGGACTCGCAAAGCTGGGACCTGTAGGTGACAACACTCATGTTTCGACAAGAGTGATGGGCACCTACGGATATTGTGCCCCCGAGTATGCCATGACAGGGAAGTTGACTCTGAAATCTGATATCTATAGCTTCGGTGTTGTTCTATTGGAGCTAATAACGGGACGAAAAGCTTATGACACCTCTAAAAAACAAGGAGAACAGAACCTTGTTGTTTGGGTGAGTTATAACTTATACTATCTTAAATCTGAATACTAACTACTGGTCTCGTTTCCGGACCAGCTCAATTCTCCATTTCTGTTCGATTCTGATATTATACAACCGATAACCTCTAATGCAACCTCAGATTTAGAGAGTTATTCAATTCACAAGATGCTCCAAAAATGCACTGCTTTTGGAGGATCTGACATACACCCATGGATATTTTTGAAGAGTCGGGCAACATAGTCTTTCAGTCAATTGGATCATTACCTGGTTCCAATACGAAACTGAAGTCCACTCAGTGTTTTGAACCAATTCTATAAGAACACATACTGAAAAAGAAACTATTACTAGTCATATTATTGCAAAATTTTGCCCATTATTTGCTGCTAGTAAAGAACAGATAATGAAGGGGAGTGGGAAGCAGCCTTGACGTAACTGATAAAGTTGTTGTCATGTGACTAGGACGTCATAGGTTAGAGTTGTGGAAACAGCCTCTTGCAGAAATGCAGGGTAAGACTGCGTAAAATAGATCCTTGTGGTTTGTCCCTTCCCCGGACCCTTGGTAATAGTTTTTTATCCAAAAAAACTATGAAGTAGTGCAACTTATATCCTGAACCCGACCTGAATACAAGACATGGTTTCTGTTTATGTACTATGTCTAGAATTTCTTTTTATCTGAGAAACTCTTCGACTTGGTTGCAGTCTAATCCTTTCCTCAAGGACCGGAGGAAATACATTCATTTGGTAGACCCGATGTTGGATGGTCAGTTCTCTTCTCGTTGTTTGCACCATGCAGTTGCTGTTACTGCAATGTGTCTTCAAGAACAAGCCAGTTTTCGCCCCAGCATTACTGATATTGTTACCGCGCTTGACTATCTTCTACTTCAAGCACAACACTCAGGTACACATAGAGGTGGTTCACAATCTGGCAAGCACATACCGCCTCCATCAACAGAAGAGTTTACTGTCAGTTCACGAAATCGAAGCTATGACAACATGGCTATTACATTTTAAAACTAGATATATAGAGATGGGGATTGCGGAACATCATAATGAAAAATGGAGGTGCATTTTATTGTTTCGACGTTATAGCAGAGGATATCGGTCACTTCAGCTTTTGATTATGAGGTTAGAAGACCATCTTGAACACAAGAGTTTATAGTCAAAAACACATTTGAAGTATCACATTTTTGCGAGTTTCCCACCTAAACTATTAGGTGTTCACTTTTCCTATCTGAACTATTTATCAAAACACACCTCAACTATCAGTTGTTCCCTTCCTACCTGAAATATAATTGTCGTTCAGGTAGAAAAAGTGAACAACTGATAGTTGAGGTATCTTTCAATAAACATTTGGTGATAGTTTAGAAAACTCGCACATCTAATAGTTCAGGCATGAAACTCAAAAGATCAGGATGCTTTAGATGTGTTTTTGACCTGTCGTTCTTTAAACAATCACTCTAATTTAACTTGTTTTAGTCAGTAGTTATGTTTTAGCTGACCTGATAGTGTAAAAATGTCGATTTCTTTTCTCACTTAACCTTCATATGTCCTAAGTTCCTTCTGAATTCCTTATTTTCTTATCACAGTAAGAACAGGACATGATTCATTCAAATGTTTTTGGCGTTTCAGATGACGTTTCCCTGAATCAAGAACTTCAATTGATTTGCAGGAACGCGGTAGACTGCTCTTTCCCCTGTACATTGACTACTCGTAATTCGTAAACAGTTGAGGAACCATTGAATATTGTTTCACGTATCTGTATTTTGGTGTATATGAAAAACCAAAAACCAAAAAATGGATGTATATCAACGTCGAGATTGTATATATACCCATACTTCTTGTAATTTCATGCATATTGTTGACATGATCATATAAGATAATATGAACAATAGTGAAGACTTGTTGTTGATGATTTTCTTCGATTATCTTCTGGTCTTAAACATGTCAGATAGAAAGTTAGAATGAGAAAGAGTTGCAAGAAACGGAAAGTGAGACATTTTTTTTAAACAGACTAAAAAGGAAAGTAGGATAAATTAAACTAATTGAAACGGAGGGAGTAACTGTTTTGTTTCTGAAATTTACTGAATTTTCAACTTCTATTGGGGAATGCATATGATTAACTAGCACACAAACACATACAAAATAAATAGAGAAGAAGAAATAAAATAAAAATTTAACGAGATTCAGTCAAGCCTACGTCCTCGGGTCAAAAGCATAAAACAAAGAATACAACATATGTTAGATCCCTAATTATAATCCCTTTACTCCCAAGTGTTTTTCCCAATCTTGCATGATCAATAATTTGCTTTACATAGATGAGAACATAACATGATTCGAATTTAGGTCAATGTGATCAGAGCTAGCGTGCTCTGATCACATTATGATCGCGTTAACCCTTAGAAGCTCTTCTATGATCGCGCTCAAATCATGCTATCTTTTTTTATTTTTTCATATAGGTCCCATCGCGATCTTTTAAAGGTCGGACCGCGATTCAAATCCACCAGAATTCAAAACACAAAGTCAACAACTTCAATTTTGACAATATAAATGGATGAGATTAGTGGTTTTCTCTAGTGGACTAGTCTTCCCACCAAAGTCATATCTTCAAATTATAGTGGCAAATCGCAATCACTAGAAAAAGTAGGCAAATAGTTTTGCTTGGAATAATAAGTACTCTTTCATCCTTAACTAGATGTTTCAAGTTCGAGTTCTTCTGGTACAGAGTCACATTTGTTAAGAAGCGCTTTACTCCTCAATGAGGGACTTTCCAGCTCAAATCCAAATTTAATCGAGCTCTAATATGATATCGACCACCAGGTGGGAAACAAGTGCAGCCCAAAAGTTTGAAAAAATATTGAAATCCTCACCATATGGTAATGACTTTTAACTGGTTGGCATTTGTGCATATGTAGTTTTTTGCTTTGAAGATTGAATGAAGTGACTAGCTAGTGAGTATCTTGTTCATAGTCAGTTGACTTTAGTGCAAAAATAATGTCTGATTTATGGAAATGTTCTCTTTTTAGGTCACATTATAAATTTTGTTCCTATTTTTAATTAAAAGTTGTACAAATAATAATAAAAATGATAGTACATAATATGAACAAAATTTAAAATAATCATTTTATGTGTCTTTTTTTTCAATATTTATGTTTGTATTTTGTTCAATTTATGTGTCTTTTTCTTAGTCTGTTTGCAAACAAAATAATCATGTTTTATCTTTAGTATTCTGATCTGTCACCATTTATGTAATATTCTTTTTTTGATCAATTAACAAAGAATGACATCTTTTCATATTTAGTAACATTTTGACTTTAAACTTTTCGTTTAACCATGGAATAATGCATTTTTTTTTGGTTTTCCATCCAGTGTCCGGAGCCCACATTGGAGCTCTGACTAAATCCGGATTGCGCTCTGCAGGGCTCATTCGGGGGTAGCGCTCTCAACAGGATTTTCTCCATAATCAGGGCTCGATGTATTGACACATAAAGTTCTATGAATTAATTTAAATCATAAATATAAAAACATTTCATTTTCTCTTAAACTTCGTACTCAATCAGACACTTTTACATAAATTGAGACGGAAAAAATTACGAACTTTTAAAATCTAAGTATGTATACTTGCTGATCTTATATAAATATTTTTAAAAGATACTGATTGTTATAAAAAATTTCATTGTATATTAAGTTAGCATTACAAAACTTCGAATTTTGAATCATTCTTTTGCAACGTGGTATATTTAAATGTCCTCGATATTATAAATGATTCAAAATATCCTCTTTTTGCGTATTGGATCAGATTAACTCATCTTCCATCTATTGGATTAAAAATGCTTTTAACCTATTAGAAATAGTTCAAGTTTAATTGTGTATATATATATATATATAGATTCACTCAAAATTTAGTACTTTTTGCTCATATCTTATATAAATATTAAGAAAATTATTGTATATTTATAAATTTTACTTTTTGCTCATATCTTATATACTTCATCTATCCCAATTTATGTGACACTTTATATTTTTTGAAAGTCAAACATTTTAAGTTTGACCATCAATTTACGCATGAAATCTTCAAATTTTTTAAATGAAATTTATATAGTTATAAACTACGTAAAAAATATTATATCACAATAATTGATAATTCAAAATGTTTAAAAGATTTATGAAAAATTTATGATAAAAATAGACTTATTTGTATAAATCTAAAAAACTGAAAAGTGTCACACATAATAGGATGAAGGGAGTAAATATCAAGAAAATTATTGAATATTTATAAAAAAAAAAATTATATATTCTGTTGATATTGTTATAGTATGAATTCAAAGTCAATCTAAAAATTCGTAAAAGTTCAAATTTTGAATCCGTGTTTGCGGTCAAATTTAAATGGAGGGAGCAAAATGAAAGTGAGGTGAGAGAATTTATTTTTTCTTTATATAAAAACTCACACAATTGTCACACAAAAACTGCAACTAACTTTTCGCATAAAAAAAACGCTGCCTCCGTTAGCTCCACATGAGTACTACTGATCTTTCACGTAACTCCGGCAGCATAAACTCGACGGATTCACTATCACCGCCGGAGAATCAGCCGTTAGAAATCGACATCGTCGACTCCGACTTCGTCGTTATCCTAGCTGCTCTTCTCTGCGGTCTAATTTGCGTAATCGGCCTTGCCGCCGTAGCTCGTTGCGCTTGGATCCGACGGATCGCCGGAGGAAATTCAGATGATGCTCCTCTTCCTCCGGCGAACAAAGGTTTGAAGAAGAAGGTACTGAAATCACTACCGAAGTTCAGTTACACACCGGAACGATCTGTGCAATTCTCTGAATGTGCGATTTGTTTGATGGAATTCGTAATCGGAGATGAAATCCGAGTGCTGCCGCAGTGCGGCCATGGATTTCACGTCGGATGTATCGATACGTGGTTGGGATCGCATTCGTCGTGTCCGTCTTGCCGTCAGATTCCGGTGGTTTCAAGGTGTAGTATGTGCGGTGAGCTGCCGGTGACGAACTCATCGGCGGCCGTCGGAGGTGAGACCGGTAACCGATCGGCTCCGAATAATAATTATCATGTAAATGCATTTTTACCTTAGAATGTAATTAATTAATTACATATTAGGCTAAGTGTATAGATTAATTCATGTACGTGTATTGAGAATTACTAGTTGTACGGAGTATTTGAATTTATAGTGAATTAAATGGTGTTATTTCCATCAACCAAAGTTTTAGTAATAAAATGTTTTCCAATTCTCATATACTATTAGGAGTTTTTTTTGTTTTCCCATCTTTTATATGATGTTTTTATTTGAGTCGAAGGTCTATTCTCAAAATAGGATCAAGGTCTTCATATATGTACACTATCCGTGTAATAACTTCAATGGGTCTTCCACTTATTCAGGTTCGTGTTGTGTAAGGCCCGAAAGCTTTTTTATCAAGAATTTTCTTCATAGTTCAAAATTTTGAACCCAAAAACTTTCATTAAGAAATTTTATTATAAATTTATTTAAGTTTATTACATCACCACAACGGACGAATCCACATATGAACATTTGTTGTCAGAAAATTACATTACGTATTTTAAAAAAAGCATAATACATAAACATGACTCTTAACTTGGATTCATCTAACAACTATGACCTTTAACTTTGGGTGAGCTCAAGTAGACATTTAAACTTTTATAAAATTAAACAAATAAACACATTTGTCCTACGTGACATAATACATTGGAAGACATATTGTCTGTTGTTGAATCTAAGTTAAGGGTCATGTTATATATTATGCCTTAAAAAACATATTACATATATGTTACTACTTCATAAAAAAATTACTCTAATTCCACGGTCATGGAGGGCCTATCATAACAAAGATAACCTATCCAGTATAGTCTCATGCATAAATGAAATTTGGAGAGAATAAAATACATGCCGTTCTTGCTCATATGTTCGCGAGGTACAAAAATTATTTTCGATAGATCCACGACCCACCTGACATTACAAATTCATTTTCTCTGTTGATGTGCATTTCAAAGCTGAACGGACGAGAACTGTTATAGTGGGTAAACCACCAAACACACCCAAATTAGGTACGGAATGTTGTAAATTGTGGCAAAAAATGTGAGAAATGTGCATTATAAAATATTACTACTAGATTTGCTAGGGTTGATTGAACTGGTTGGGTGAGTGCTTTCCTACATAGGAGACCGGATCGACTCCCCTTATCGATAAATAGAATTTTTAGTCAGAATTTGTCGTATCAGGCTTGTCTAGTGTGGATTTATATTTACAGAGTGGTTTGCGAGCTATTGCATAAGACTTGTCAAGTATGATTTACATTCCATGTTTGGTTTGTGAGTTATTGCACATAATCATGTTTACTTCAGTGTGTACCCAAAAAATAGAGACCGCAAATATTTTGAGGTTCCAAGAAAAATTAAAATACTAGTAATAGTAATCAAATGGGAATGTGACACCTGACCGCCATCGATCAAGGGGTATGGTGGAATTAGGTAAAGGCCCTTCCACCCCTTTAGATTTGATGGGATGGATGGATGAATTCTTTCACTGTTAATCTGCAGAGATCTCAAGTTTGAGTCTTGATAGAAATCGTTTTTCTTTTATAGGACTCTATGCGGAATGAATTTACATAATTCGAACTAATAAGTTCCAAATAGGGGCGGAGCCACCTTGGAGTCGGGGATTCCGAACCCCGGCCCCTTCAATGGAAAATTATACTATATATAATATATGGTTAAAATTATTTTTTATGTATATACAGTAAATATCGAACTCTCTTCAATTAATTCATGTGTCGAATTCTTCAGATTTTGAACCTCCTTAAAGAAAATCATAGCTTCGCCCCTAATTCTAAATATCATTTGGTTATTAGAAAAATGAAAACACAGCTCAAAAACACAACTCCATATTGCATAGAGCAACACTACCTATAGTGCTATTATTCTTTCTTTCATTTTTTGTCCAAATGTAGTAATGTGCTTCTTTAATTAATACATACTTAACACACTAATGGGATTAATATTCCTCTTTTTTTTTAAATGTTTTTTTTATGGGATTAATATTCCTCCATATTAGTGGTAAATAATTAATAAAATATTGATCATGTTATTCATGACATTTTAATATCATTCCCCTTTAATGGTAGCCATCCAACAAAATAAATATGGAGGACCCATAAAATCCCACTGACAATTACAAGTAGAGCCCCATTTCTTCATAACCATTATTTTCTGGAGTACTCACTGCTCACTCCTTTAAATAAAGAAGAAAGATGCTGGGGTTTGTTGCAACACCTTGTCTCACATCCACTACCTTTTTTTTTATTATTATCAACTTTATATATTGACGGAATCAAAATTTTCATTAAAAGGACGTAAAGAGAAATAAACGCATGAAGAAGTCAGGGAAATCTAACATGCATATATTACTATGGACAGAGGCGTATCTAAGGGGGGGTCACCGGGTTCACGTGAACCCATGGTCCCCTCCCAAGATTATATATAGTAGTGTTATATTTTTAAAAACTATTAAAATATAGATGTGTGAACCCACACTCGGAGTATCACATAACGTGATTATGACTGGGTGCACCTCTCTCCGAGAGGTTAGAAATTTGAATTTTATATTTATCTTGTTTTATTTTTCTTTCTAAAATTAGATAACACTTCTCTAAGTGGTAATTGATAGCACTTTTGGCATTTTAATTAATTTAATATATATTAATTTTAGACCTATAATTTTAAAATTTTAACAATTTTCAGTAGTAAGAACCTAAATGTCGAACCGATCAAATTTATATCATAGATCAACATTTTAATAATAGTGCACTCATCATCTCAAAATCCTGGATATGCCTCTGACTATGGATGTGTTTGGTACGAAGGAAAGTGTTTTTCATAGAAAATGTACTTTTAGAAAATAATAAGGTTTCTTACTGATTTTGTTGTATTTGATCTCTACGTAAGTAAAATATCTTATTCTATTATATATATATATATATATATATATATATATATAGAGAGAGAGAGAGAGAGATAGATAGATAGATAGATAGATAGATAAATACTATAGGGGGTTGAGATGGAGTAGGGGTGTGGGGTGGTGGGAATAGGGGCTACGACGTCTGGATGGAGATGAGATGTATTGGAAAGTGGAGAGGACAAATATTAATGAGGAATATCATTTGTAGAACTTGTTTTTTTCTACTTCCTCTACGGATCATTTTTAAGAAACTTATCTTTGTAGAGAAAATATTTTCCAAATTATTTAAGCATCTGAACAAAAAAAAAAAAATTTCTCCACACCAAATACACCCATATTTATATAATTAAAAATAATTTTATTTTTTTATATATATGATATAATTTTTTGATAAAGAGAATTCAAATGAACCCATTACACCCTCTCTGCTCCAACTTACATATTTATTCATTTGTTTTTTTTTTTTTTGTCTGATGTGCTAAAAAGTCTTAATGAAATTGACCATATAATTGATACTTTTTGAATCTACATTATTCCTTAAAAATGCTAAAATAATTGGGTTGGGAAGTGGGGACTGGGGAGGGCCAAAGGAATTGATGCACATGCTTCTATTGTTTTTGTCTGATGTGCTAAAATATTTGTTCGAATTGTTTCATAATGTATCATATTACATTATATTATTAAATTGTGTTATATATGTTGTTGCAATAATATTTAGATAGACGATATTATTTAATGTTGTTTAATAACACTTTTCTTATTTAATTTAATTAATTATATTGTATTGTAAATATACACACAATTATATTAGACTGAATGACCAATGTGAAAGAGAAAAAATTCTTACAAAACCGGCTATCAATTTTTCCAAAATAAGGAGAGATATGTCGTTGCTTACTGCTCACAGGAACATCTGAACTATACTATAGTCAAGTCATTTGCATATTTTATTGTTAGGTTCATCATGTAGTACTGAATATAATAGCAATGCAACAATAATAGGGGTGGTTTCCCATGAAAACATGATGATCCGTCTAATCTGATACATTCTAAGTTTTGACGGATCATTAATCCGTCCATTTATAAACTCAACATGCCTTGATTTTCCGCCCAAATTAAGTCTATTTAAAAATTGAATTGACTTGGCTAAGTATGTAATCTAAACTGATCAATGAGAAATCTTATAAAAAATATTAATGTAATTTTTTGATATATTATATCTAATTACAATAAAGAAATATAAATTTGTTTATTAGTTTTGTTTGGTAATTAAACATATGCTAAAAAAAAAAAAAAAAACAAATTGAAATTTGGAAAAATTGATCACATTGGGAAAAGACTCATTATTCAATTCATCTCAGCTCAAATAACTTTTGGAAAAAATTGACGACCCATTTATTAACACATCCCATTTTAACCCGTCCTATTGTAATTCAACCCAAACCATTCATTTAAATTATAGCATAAAATCACATATGTTTAATGAGAAGTTGAATCTTTAATCCAAAGCTAACAAAAAAAAAGCACCATGCTTTAAGTCTCCTATTACTACTACTCTATATACTACTAAGTATATACAATTAATATTACTATATTGCACAAAACTTGGCTTTAAAGCAAATTTATCAAGAATTTTACCCCTTATATAAACTCATTAATTCCCCTCTATTTCTTCATTCATCTCAACACCTCTCTATTACTACTAATCAAATACAAAATGGCTTCCAAATTCTCATTTGTTGTCCTATTTCCCATTTTATTATTATCTCTCATGTCAAGCGCAACATTTGCGCGTGACTTCTCCATCGTGGGATATTCCCCCAATGACTTGAATAGCATCGATAACATCATCAATCTCTTCGAGACGTGGATGGAGAAACACAACAAGATTTACAAGAGCATTGAAGAGAAATTGCATAGATTTGAGATTTTTAGAGACAATTTGAAACACATTGATGAGAGGAACAATAATGTTAGTAATTATTGGCTTGGTTTGAATGAATTTGCTGATTTAAGCCATGATGAATTCAAGAAAATGTATTTAGGACTCAAAGTTCAAAATGAAAAGAGATCAAATGATGAATTTATTTATAGTGATTTTGTGGATTTGCCTAAGTCTGTTGATTGGAGAAAAAAGGGTGCTGTGACTGATGTCAAGAATCAAGGCTCATGTGGTAAGTTAATTATAAGGGGCTATTTTTAGTGTTAACAACTTAAGGGTATTTCAGTCATTTTAATATAAAACGTTTATCAACCCTTTTTTTAGTAAACACTTCAATTGATCCTTTATTTCCAAATTCATAGATTTTAAGGATATTTTAGTCATTTCAATAAAAAAAAAAGTGTTTAGACACTCTTTTTTCTTTACCAACCACTTCAATTAATCCTTTATTTTCAAATTCATAGATTTTAAGGGTATTTTAGTCATTTTAACAAAAAAGAACGTTTAGACACTTATTTTTTTTTTTTACCAAACACTACAACTAATCCTTTATTTTCAAATTAATAGATTTATGTATTGCATCGAACTCTTTAAAAATATCTTCGGATGTGTGCAAATCCTCCAAAACCAATATATTTTTGGAGGTCTGACATGGATGCAATAATATTTTTGTAAGGTCCAAGCAACATAGGAAAAACATGTTTATCAACACTTTTTTTTTCGTCAAACAAATCAATTGCTTTACTTTCATTTTCAATACATCCAAACACTTATTAGTCCTTATTTTCATATTTACATATATGGAAAGGGTCATATTTGCCCCTCTACTATCGAAAATAAGCTATATATGTCATATGATATACTATTTTCAACAAATATACCTTACGATCAGAGCCGAAGCTAGGTGGGATCTGTGGGTTCAAATGAACCTAGTACCTTTTCCGTAGAATCTGTATTTGTACTAGAAAATTAAATAAATATATGTGTATTAACTTATGAACCCCTAACAAAATTGATAGATGGTTCAGTGGTAAAGATTGGACCGTGGAAATGTTTTTTCACGCTAAAGTTGTGAGTTCAAACCCCTCAAAAAGCCACGTGTCATGCTCTTATTGATGGAATTATGTTGCGTTTTGCAGGTAGTTGTTGGGCGTTTTCAACGGTAGCGGCAGTAGAGGGAATAAACCAAATAAAAACAGGGAATTTGACATCTTTGTCTGAACAAGAGTTGATTGATTGTGACACAAAATACAATAGTGGTTGCAATGGTGGCCTTATGGATTATGCTTTTCAATTTATTGTTTCACAAGGTGGTCTTCACAAAGAGGATGACTATCCTTATCTCATGGAGGAAGGCACTTGTGATGAAAAAAGAGTAAGTCAATAATCTAATAATGGTATTCCTAGCTATGTTGCTCGTAGAGTCGGAGCCAGGATTTTAAGTTTATGAGTTCAATTTTGTTATTGAACACATATTTAATGAACTTTCTTATATATACAAATACTTGTACCTAATAGCTTTGCTCCTCTTTGCTTGGATCCTTAGATCCTCCAAAAGTAGTTTATTTTATAAAGGATATTCAGACTCGAGTAGAACGACATTTTTGGAGGATCTAAGCAAACGTACATAGCTTCTATGAGTTTTTCAATCTTTAACGCTCATGAAGTTCAATTTTTGGATCTGCCTCTAGCTATGTCACTCAAATCCTTTAAAATGTTGTCAGATGTGTGTCGGCCACTACAACAAAAAACAACTTTTAGCGGCAATAAATATACACATTAATAAATAGTGAGAAATCCTTTATTGGCATTAGTTAATTGTCATTGGATCCAGTATTGCTATAGGCTTTAGGGACATTTACAAAGAGTGTTAAATGCCGCTAAAATATGTTTTTAGCGGCAATTAAGCTATTGCCTCTAAAGATCATTTTTGATATAGTTCAAATTCTTCAGAAGTTATTTATTTTTGAAGGATCCAATACCGATACTAGAATTCTTAAATTGAAATGTGATATTTTTTTCAGGATGAAAGTGAAGTGGTGACAATAGATGGTTACCATGATGTGCCTGCCAATGATGAACAAAGTTTGTTGAAAGCTCTTGCTAACCAACCTTTGAGTGTTGCCATTGAGGCTTCTAGTAGAGATTTCCAATTCTACAAAGGGGTAAACTTCCTTTGTACTCTTTTTTTTTTGTGTGTGTGTTTGGCATGACAGAAAATGTTTTCTTAAAAAATAAGTCGTTTTTTGGTGTTTGATTGTCATAAAATATTTTTCGAGGTAAACATTATCCAACCAAAAGAAGGAAAGATTACTTCCCGGCCTCACTATTGGCCGGAAGTCATTTTCCTTTACAATTATCTCTAACTCAAAATATCGGAAAATATTTTTGTGTAAATAAGTGATTTTTCAGAAAAATGACTTTCATCGTACCAAAACATATACCCTTAGTTATAAATAGAACTCTTTAAGATTGCTTGTAATACATGATATATACTATGAAAACTCTTAAAAGGATCTTTTACATAAATAGTCAGTCAGATTCACTGTTTACTTTTTCTAGTCGATATACTGAGTAAGCACATGAATTATGGGTGTAGGGTGTGTTTGATGGACATTGTGGAACAGCATTGGATCATGGAGTGGCAGCAGTTGGATATGGATCCACAAAAGGGTTGGATTACATCATTGTCAAGAACTCTTGGGGGACAAAATGGGGAGAAAAAGGTTTTATTAGGATGAAGAGAAATATAGGCAAAGCTGAAGGCCTTTGTGGAATCTACAAAATGGCTTCTTTCCCTACCAAAAATAAGTGAAAAAAACATTGTAATTTTATTTCTTTCTATTTGTTGAATGTTGTTTCATTTGTGGTTTGAGCATTATGTTGTATTTTGTTAAGGAACTATCCAATGTATTCTTCAAAGAAATTATATTCTACATTCCCTCGGTTTCATTTATGTCTTAATTTGAATCTTTTGACGTTAAACTCATAAACTAAAGATGTATGTATTACTATACCAAATGCTCTTTGAATCATGTATCTTAAATATGTCGCATGAATATAGAGTGACGTTCTTTCTGGAACAGACTAAAAATAAAAGTATAACACGTAAATTCAAGGAGACATTATAAGAGTTAAAATAGTACAGAAAAGCCAAACTCATGTCCAATGATTTATAAAACACAAAAAGCTGAAGGAACAACTAACAAGGCAGAAAATGCAGAATACCTAAGGTAGGTAAAATTTGTCTATGGTCCTTATTTCTGCACAACTACTAGTACACCAATGTAAATAACAACAATCCACTCATAGTCGACGAGGAGTTCAATCGTTCAGAAAAGAGAGCGGATAATCGTTCATGCTTGAGATTCCTTGCAGATTATCGTTTGCGGTTCCCTGACCTCTTTCCTTTAGGGTGGCCAGCAAGCTCACTGGGCAAACCACTATGCATGCCACGTGACGGAACAACAAATTTGGGATTCATCGGAGCAGCAGGTGCAGCGAAACTACATACAATAACCTGGAACATAAGCCATTCAATTAGTGCCTGGATACAAGATACTTAATACATAACTTTATCAAGGTGCAAAAAGAAGATATTGAATATGTTAATCTGCTTCCTGCCTGCATTTGCCAGAATGGTTTCTTCCGAAGGAAAGAGGCGTTCATAGGTAACGAGAGTGATATATACTCTTAACTAATTACCAATTAACACTAAATAGGATTCTGATCGTCCTGTTTAGGCTTACTTGACAAACAAAATATCCGAACCTCTTCAAAAACCAGAAGAATGCAGTAGAGAAGATGGTTACCAAATCCACGTAAATTTGAACTTTATAATCCCAACTAATAGTGAATTGCGAGAAATGCCTAAAAGATAGAACACATGCTACTTATTTGGAACTTATGAGAAGACGAACCTCAACTGGTGATGCAGCTATTAGATCACCCGTCACAGCACCACCAAAAGTCCGTTGATCAGATCCAGTCAACGATACACTAAATCCACCCATTCTGCTCTGTGGATCGCCATTTTCAAATGGCAGAAACGAACCAGAAAGAGTCTGTATTTTGAACAGTCCCTACAGGAGGAAAAGATCAAGAGCAGATTTTTATCAGCAGATCTGTGAATTCTAGAAGAGAAAATCAACAAGTAATTTCGGGCACAAAATGAAGTTGAAATAAAAAAATAGGATTAAAATCCATATGAATTGTGGATTCTAGAAATAATAGTACAAAACGTATCTCTCGAGTAAAACGATGAAAACTGGAACAATAAATGCTAAAACAAGTAAAATATATTCAGACGTTAACCTCATAAGTCGCCTCTCCTCCGGACGCATCAGCTTGAAATACAGTCACATTCGATAATTCACCAGTCGCTGACACGATACAAACAGCCCTTGGACTACTGTGAATAAATGACACTATTTTTGATGACACATCCTGAAAATCAGATAATAAGGATTAGTAAGATATTGTCCGTGACTCCCAACCAAGTTAACTTCTACCTGATTTTATGAATTATTATAGCAAAACTAATATGGAATAGGTGCAATTCGAAACATAAGAATGTTTGCTGGCTATTCCCAAGTTTCATATGAAATTAAATGTTCTTCAAGTCAAAGGAAATACAAAGGATAAAGAGGTAACCTCTCCTGTTTTCACAGTGATAATATGTTGTGTGACTCCAGATCCTATCGATCCTGCAATCAGAAAATGAAGGTGAGAAGTTCTATCGATGTGCGACATGTACTCAATCTCCCCACCCCACCCACCCCAAAAAAAGAAACCAAAAAAATGAAGTTACCTGGTATCTGTTGTTGGTTGGTAGTGGTAGGTACCTGACCATTTGCAACGAACTCACCTACAATTATCTGGAATAAAAGCCATTAAATTAGTGCCAGCTAAGTAAACAAATTCTGTGTCACACGGGCAACCTAGATAAACAAATGGTAGTGTGAGCAACTGAGCATAAGTAACGAGAGTACTATACACATCTCATAACAACGGATCACTTGCATACCTAGACCAGCTTCACTAATTACCATTTAACACTAAATCTATGAAAGACGGATAATGTTGATTCGGATCTTCCTGTTTAGTACTATAACACTAAAAGGTTGAATACATGTTGCATAGATCGATTTTTGAAACTTATGAGAAGGCAAACCTGGATAGGTGATGCAGCAGTTAGAACACCCGTCACAGAACCACCAAAAACCCAACCATCAGGTTTAGCTAATGAGACACTTAATCCACCTGTTCTGCTCCGTTGACCGCCAATTTCAGACAGCAGAAACGAACCAGATAGAGACACTATCACAAACTGTCCCTACAGGATGAAAAGAAAAGCACTCAACTCTTTTTCTTTTTTTTTTAAATCAAAGACCACATGGGTCAAGAATTTTATTAAACTAAGAGAAAATATATACAAAAAGCACTCAACACTATAATAATGCAGAAGAGCAGATTTTTATCAACAGATCTGTAAATTCTAGACTAGAAAATCAACTAGTAATTTCACGCACAGAATGAAGTTGAAATAAAAAACTAAGATTAAAATCCATACGAACATACATCTCAAGTAAAATGATTTAAAAAGGTTATATTACCCTCTCAACTAAAAAAAAACCCTTGTAATTAGTATGTACTAAACAAGAGCTGAGTTAAATCTTACAGTACAAGCAGAGGTGTCAAAGGTGAAAAGCATAGAAAGTCACCACAATCTATTGAAGCTTTAAGCGCAAGCCGTAAAGCACAATTCAAGTGTCCGCTTAGTGAAGAAAAAAGATGCTAATAAATTTTTTAAAATAAGAAGAAGAAAGTAATGCAGGAATAAACACAGAAAGGGATATTAATTATTTGGAAAAAAGAACTGAAAAATAATAATTAGCTGAAATATGTGAGATGGAACATGAAAAGCTAATCCAAATAAAATATAGTCAGACATATACCTCAAAGGTCGTAGCTTCTCCGGACGTGTCAGTTTTTATTAGAGACACGTTTGATAATACACCAGTAGCTGACAGGATACAAACATCCCTTGGACAATTTTGAGTAAATGACAGTACTTTTGATGCCACATCCTGAAAATCAGATAATACGGATTAGAAATACAAAATATAATGACCTGCAACTTTAGGAGCCGTTTGTCCATGGAAATTTTTTCTTTTCAAATTCTTTTTTTTCGTTTGGTTATACATTACACTGATTTTTTAAAGATTAGAAGCACATTTTCACAATCTATTTTTCATGTCAGTAATATAAGTCTTTTACCAAAGTGAATTGTTATCACTAGTAAATTTTTGGCCATCATTTGAGAGTAGGTGATCTATTGATATTGTTTTTTCATAACTCTTTTCCTAAAATATTTTCTGCGACTGCCCGCTGACTACCAAATTTCAGAATTATTGACAGCAAAACTAATATGGAATAGTTGTATTTCGAGACATAAGAACGATTGTTGACTATTTCCAAGTTCAATAAGAAATTAAATGTTGTTCAAGTCAAAGAAAAGATAAGGATAAAGAGGTAACCTCTCCTGTTTCCACTTCGATAATCTGAGGTGGGAATCCAAATCCTGTTGAACCTGCAATCAGAAAATAACACTGAGAAGTTCTATTGATGATGCCTGATGGTGGATGAAACCACACAGGATAATTTATTATACAGAGTAAGTGGAATATATATTCAATCTCCCCACCACCCATCCCAAAAAAAAGAATTCAAAAAAGAAGAAAAATGAAAAAAAAGAACAAGAAAATCAGCATTCATCTTTTATTACATACAATCCACGATCATTCATGAACATGTTAGATCAATTAATTCAACAGGGCAGAAATTTCTAATATAAATTTCGGAAACGAAGGAATCAGTTGCACAACTCTTATGGCAAAAGAGTAACAATATACCATTGTAATACTAGAAGTGGGGTCTAGGGAAGGTAGAGCTTACATACACCTCAGTGTTTTGGACAGCAAAAGGCAACAAAGGCATGCCTCACCACAAGGCGAGCCGCTTGCCTTTTTGAAGTGTGGCGTAAATTAATACCAAAAAATTAAAATATTTAATATCATATATAAATAATCAAAATCTCAATAGAATAGCAATAACAAATATTTCAATACAAAAATTGAAAAAATAGATAGTACATACTAAAGTGTAGAACTTGAATGAGAAAAAAAACAAAACACAAGTAAAAATAGTGAGAAAAAAACAGAGGTAGAAGTAACGTCCGATGATGAAGAAGGAAAACAGAGGAAGACGAAAAGAGGAAATACGTATTGGATTGGAGTCTCTAGAAAAGTCTGGATGGTCGCCGGAGATATCTAGTCTAGTCGACTAGTTGGAGTCACAGTTAAAGAGTGCAACTGTGCAAATTTGGAAAGAAAACCCTAAAATTACCTTTTAACTTTTTAAATACCCTAAATTGGTCGCCTTTTTTAAGAAAATACAAAAGGTGACGCCTTTGCCCCCATGGCGTCACCTTTTGAAGATCGCCTTGCCACAAAGCTAATAGGCAATAAGATTCACCTCGCCTCTCACCATTGGCGATCTCCGTTCATAACACTAGACCTTACCTCTACCTTATAGAGATAGAGAGGTTGTTTCTGATAGATTTTCGGCTTAAAATAAAGCATTCTTAAGGCTATAAATTCAAAAAAGGAACTCCTATTAAATTGGCAATAAATTAAAAAAAGATGTAGACATTCGTATACATACATAGAGCCGCCGCAGCGGTTCCGCCATAGTTGTTTGTATAAGCAAAGATCCCTACTAAGCAAAAAGAATTTACAGGGATCTATCGAGTAT